ATTTTTAAATAGATGTTTGTGTAAAAACGAGTACCGTTTTATACATGTGCATATTACTGCATTAAATTATAAGTTATGTCTATGCCGCCGGTACATGTCAATTTACTTTTACTTAAAAACATTTTGTTTCAATATGATATTAAAAAAAACCCTTTTTCTTCGGCAAGCCGAGGAGTAAATACCCATGCAGACATACATACATGTATATAAATTAGATTTGCCTATCATTTGCATTTGCTCAATGGTCTGTTGATAAGATTTAACTCTTATATTAGGCTAAAAATCAATATTTCCAAGTATAGCACAAATGAATGTACAAATTGATCCGATTTTTCTTAAGACAGTAAATCTTCCAAATGTCATAATTAGATTGTGACACATGAATATATTTTTACTCTTAAGTGATGACAATTGCAGAATTGCTATTTTATAACCAAAAATTTGTAGCAATTTTAAGAGTCCTCATTTAACAGTTACTTAAACGTCTTCAGAACTGTCGTTAACTCATTTACAGTTATATCGTTATTTTATAGTTCCTTAATCCTATACCCTTGTAGAGGGTATTCTAATTTCGTCATGAAAAAAGTTACGCATATGAATATATGTATATAAATACTATAACTATAAAATATTTTATATTGTCCTTCATGAACAGCTATCGGAACACTTTAATATATAGCTGACAGAGGCATAATTGGTCGAAAAGTAGATTTTTGTATAAAAAAATCGATCAGTTTTTCAAGATATATTCGGACCCAACTGGGCAGCCGCGAGCTACCCTATTCTACACATATTTTCGAGCCCATTCGCCACAGTTCGGCAAAGGTATTTAATCTTCGGCAACTCGAAGATAACAATTCTTTGTTGTTTTTGAGCTATCCAAGTGTTCAAGGTAATGGTTGATCAAATTTTTGAATAACAACAACACTGAACTGTAAATTGTTTAAGTATATATTTTTTCTTGAGAACTCGTAATTTGTAGTAATTTATTTGCTGTTCAGTTTATGAAGATAATCAGATATGTGTCAATTTTAGATATAATATGAGTAAGGGTCAAAGGTTGGAATGGATACATTGAATTTTTGAAATATGTATAATTCCGTTTTGATATACTTGTGTCCGCTTTTTTTTTGTATGTTTCCTTTTATGCCAAAGAGACTCAAGAGAGAACAAAATAACACGAATTGATAAAATCCGAAAAAAATTACTTACATATTAAACTGTGCTAACAGAGTTTTGTTAATTGTTTGCATTATGTTATGTATGTAATTTTGTAAAACTTGTATATATTATAAAACATATATTCTCGTTAGTTAAGCTGTTTATATGTACATAAATCCGGGTAGCTGCACTCCCCCTCCACTCGATACAGAAGATGGGGATGCTATACGTAACCATCTCCAAAGATGGAACCGCCGACGAGTTCTTAAAATCTACTTTTTATAAAGTCGCACTTTGAAAGGGTCTAAAGTCAAGATAACTAACTGCTGAGCTATTTATAAATATGTACAAATATTGTTTATGTCTTTATTGCATCTGACTGTCATGTTCTATTCTTATTTCTTTTTATATAATGCAAACTATATCGAATCTGCAACAACTTATTTATCACCTATTTAAAATTGTATTTATTTGTTTTGAAATGTTAATATCAGTATGCGTCCAATAGGCTGTGAGGTGTTTGAGTATGTGTTTATGAATGTGTATATGTGTATGTATTTGGGTATATGTGTAATGTGTGTGTGTGTCTTATTTAAATAAATATATACCTTGTTTTCATTTTTTTTTTCTTTCGAAACATCCAACTATCTTGAAAGAAATGTATTTCTCAGACTTTTCTATCGAAGTTTCAAAAATTTTTAAATACCTACTTAAGAATTTAATGAATACGTTTTTCATAGATTTTAAAATTGTCACCCGCAACCGGTCAAAGATTAAATCGGCAAAGATTTAATTTTAATCTAATCAAAGCCCTACGCTATTATTTGATAAACACCTGTTTCAGCTAGTTTCCAAATATCAAAAAAGTTGCATAAATCAAGATTTTCTTTTATTTCCAATTCGATGGATCTTAAGCTCCTTTTTAAATATCTATGTAGAGTTGAAGATAATACAGGTGGATAACAATTTTCTATCTGAGGAAAATGGGTAGAAAATTGATATTTAAAATTTAAAGCAAATAACTTTGGCAAAGCCAGTAACTTGCAGCTAGGTGATAGTTGATAAGACTTAGGCCCAACACAATTTTTGAATACAATGATATGTTTTTCTTTTTACACATTTACGCATTTAGTAGGCAAATCAATGTGTGAACAATCTGTTTCGGAGTGTGTGAATACATTGAGGTTAAATCCAAATGTGGGATTAAATTTGGAGTACATTAGAGTGATTTTCAGTTGATTGAATGGTGTAGATAACATTTAAATCATATTTAAAAGCATATAAATTGGATTAATATTTTACACATTTTAGAATTTTGAGAAAAACTCAAAATGGATTTCGTGCAAGTATCCGAGGAGGAGGGTGACGAGCCAATCGAACTGCCAGCTGAGGAAGATGGAACCTTGCTAATATCTACCCTTCAGGCACAGTTTCCTGGCTCTTGTGGACTTAAATATAGGAACATGGATTCGAAAGCTGTACGGGGTGTTCGCTCTAACGAAGGCAGACTATTTCCGCCAAATGTCGATTCGGATTGGGGAGATTATGTCTACTTTTGTGTCTTTCCAAAAGGTATACCAAATTTCACAAGAACTGTCCCACAGATCGACAGTGCTTATCGCCCCATATTGCCTCCCATAGAAAACAAACGTAAAAGCGATGATAACTTGGAAAATTCAACTGCTAAAACCAAACGTATTGAAACACGCTTACGTTGCACTGATTTGATTGTTTTGGGACTTGCTTGGAAAACAACTGAAGACAGTTTACGGGAATACTTTGAGGGCTATGGCGAAGTGCTCATGGCTCAAATAAAAAAAGATGTCAAGTCTGGCCAGTCAAAGGGCTTTGGATTCGTACGTTTCGGTTCTTACGAAGCACAAATGCGTGTACTCTCAAATCGTCATCTTATTGATGGCCGTTGGTGCGAAGTGAAAGTACCAAATTCCAAGGTAATAATTAACTTCTTTAGATTTAAACAAAATTTAACCCTAATTGTTTTTTACCCACAGGGCATGGGTCATCAAGTGCCATGTAAAGTATTCGTAGGCCGTTGCACGGAGGATATTAATTCAGATGACCTACGCGAATACTTTTCGAAATTTGGAGAAGTAACCGATGTTTTTATACCTCGACCATTTCGTGCTTTTAGTTTTGTTACGTTCCTTGATCCTGATGTAGCCCAATCTCTCTGTGGTGAGGATCATATTATTAAAGGTAAGCAATCTATTAAATATATATATATATCTGTATATATGTACTAACCTGTTGTTTTATTAGGGGTGTCGGTGCATGTTTCAAATGCCGCTCCCAAAGCCGAGCAAAATCGGACCCACCAAGGCCAAAATTACAACTATAACTCTGGAAATAATTTCGGGATGCATTCATACCATCCACAAGGAAATCACATGAACTCTGGCCGTAGCGGACATCATAGAGGTAATAACCAACACAATGCACACGGAGGTGATAGCACTGCAATCGGCAATAGTCACAGCAACATTGGCAGTGGTGGCTACGGAATGGGTAGCAATAATTTTGGTGGAAATTTGGGTGGGGGTTACACAAACGGTAGTAATCATAATAGTGGTGGGAACATGAACCGCCAAGAAGGTGGTATGTCCTATAATAGACAGAATAATTTTCATGGCATGAACCAGCCACACAATGGCAACGTAGGCAATGGTGGTTGGATGAACAGGGGACATTTGGACATGCCTAACCTACAAGCATTAGGCATAAATTCGCAAGGATCCAGCTCTTCCAATCAAGGGCAAAACATGAACAACCCTTTAGGCGTTGGACTTAATTTAAACTCATTGCCGATGAACCCTGCTTTGGTTGCTGCTGCGTTGAATCAGTGGAGCCTTCTTGGCAATCAGCTGCAAAATCAAAACCAGGATCAGCAGGCAAGCCTTCTATACACTATCATTGTTTCAAACAAAAAACTCTTTCAGTTACTTCTCAGGGAGGCAATTTTTTATCATGGATGGCTCAAAACAACGGAGGGCATTCAAACGCATCTAATATGAACTCTGGCAATCGCAAAGGTTCAAACAATCCAAACAATTCTGGTTCTGGCGGCATGAACAAAGGTGATAACTCGGCTGCTAATGATCAGGTAAGAAATTGCCATTAAGATAAATATGAAAACATACATTTTTTTCAAATATTTTACAGAATGGCTGCCCTTCAGGTAACTCATGGTCAAATCAGAGCAGTGGCTCTCAAAACTCTACGGAAAAATCAAATTTTCTCTAATTATAAAATATAAAACTCTACCCATATGGTACCATTAAAATAAAATAAAATAAAATCATTTTATCTCAACTATTGAACTTCAACATTTGCAACTATTCATAGTTAATAGTCTTAGCATCAGACTGTCATACGAATCAGACGAGTTGAAAGAGCGTTTGCAGAGTCTATGTCTGTGGCCGTGGATATTGCAGCTCGTGAAGCCGAGCATTAAAAAATGTGCAAACTTTGCTCTGAAGAACTACTTTCCCTGTAGTAAATAGGCTTGAGCGTCTTCTCACATTCGTCGAGCAATTAATTAAGCCAAGGACAATCTGTCTGGTAGAAATGCTGGCAGTGACCTTTAATGGAGGTTTGATCGCCTGTTTATGCCAGAATCTCATCCTTGCCTTAGAGGCAAAGGTGTTAAAAGGCCACTAATGGGCACAGGGTATAAACTTAATATAAATCAAATGAAGCCGTAAATTGTCGCTTCTGTGCTTCTCCCCATTAACTTAAGGGAATAAGCTCGCTAGAAATTGGAAGTGCACGTTTTTTGTCTACATGCATATTAATATATTTGACAGATACATACTAAAGTATTTACCCTAAGTTGCACAATCACAATGTATATGTATTTTGCACACAAACACAATTTAAAATTATGGGTACAGGGTATAAAAAGGCATTGTTGATCTCGACTACAAAAATATTATTGTATTTTCAGTAATATAGTTAAAATCACAGTGAGATATTACTGCACGCTGATGAATTAAATATATAGTTTTGGGCCTCCAAGATGTGCATTTCAGTTAAGCAAATGGCAACTAGTAATATTATATATCCACTGTAACGTATCGCTCGTAGAAAATCCCACAATTTGTCACAAAAGATACTAAGCAAAACACAATGAAGCAGGGCATGCACGTTGACGATGCGCCACATCCAAGCCACAGAAAAAAATAATGTGGACTTAAATATATAGTTCTGACACTGGTACTGGCTGCTGTTGACATCTTCGCGTTCCAACATATTCTGATAGACAGCGATATAACGATTCCATGCCGTAGAGCTTAGTAAAAGTTGGCCAGTAAAGCTAATAACATTTTTGGCAACCTTGCGTGTAGTTGCCTTAATTTTAGGAATAATAGTTGGCTCAGGAGTCGCTTTCGAGTCGCTCATTGGAATTATCGAGTAGCCTCGGCGAGGTGGGTTGCTTTTCAAAAAGAAGAATATGCCAAGTAGTAGCGCAATGCATCCAAGTCCATCGCAGAGTCCGTCAACATAATAGCCAGACGTTCCAATCTCCGAGCGCTCGCCACGTATATGTTTCCTTACACGCGCAACATGGCCATCCAAATCATCGAGGAACGTGCGAATTTGAAAAAGCAGTACACCAAGCCGCCTGTATCCCAGGCTATCGGAGGCCACAAGTTTTCCCGATACGCAAGCGACCACAACATGAAAAAATGATATCATGTTGGGTGTTATGAACGTCGATTGCGAGATGCCAACCACATTGTCAAAGATTGTTGCCAATGGTGCGAACAGATAGTGGTTGGTATGATCCAGCAGTATCGCCTTAACCGTAATATGACAAAGTGGATTTATATTGCATGATATCCACGTATTATCTTCATAGGACGGTTCTTTTTCAACGGTGGGAGGTTTCGGGCCACTGCTCGAAGCGGATGCCAAATTGGATGGTTCCATCGACGATATCGACGTTGTCGAGGTGTTGATGTGATAATTTCGGTTAATAGCATAATTATGAATACGCAGATACAGCTCAAAATCCATAAACATATAGAACATTATTAACAAAAACAAGAGCGTTAATAATATCTTGCTTATTTGTGAACTGGGGCCAATCATTTTTTACGTTGTGAGGTAGATATCATCTATAAATTCTTCAACTCTCAGTGAATAGCTAAAATGAAAAAAAAAAAACAAAAAATTTAATTAATTAAAAAGACAACAAAAATAATGATTATCTTCGGCACGCCCAAGATTCAATACCCTTTTTGGCTTACGGCATGTCCGATATATGAGAATAATGAATTTGTTAATGCTGAGTGAAAATGTCTTCGAACACAGAGGAACAGATTTTCCTGATTTTCCATTTATCTGCATTGAGTGTTAATCGAAGAAGGGTTCAAAGTGGAGGTATTCAATACTGAAATATGTATTATCTGTGTGTATACTTAAAAAACCAAGTCTTTGAGATTCATATCATATCATATTCCATGTGAGGGCAGCCTAGTCCGCACTGTAAATCAATGTGTACACTTATCTGGCAGCTGGTCAAAGTTTATATAAGGTGTAAAAAGTGCCTTAAGCAAGAACGTTATTTTCGTACAAACTTCAGTTTGCAACCCGAGCTATCTTTGATATTTATGAAAGATGTGGACCCTAGCGAAGTTCACAATTACTCAGTTGACATATAGAAAATAAAAAATGACATGTTTACTAACTTATTTAGATATAGATTTAAGCGAAAGTACATATAAACACAACCATCCATACATACATGCGTAACTGTATATTTATAGTTGTAGTTTATAGCATGCCCATACCATATTTTATGCAATGACACAGAGCCTGATATAAACACAACCATACATACATACGTAACTGTGTATTTGTAGTTGTATTTTATAGCATGCCCATACCATATACCATATACATGCATTTATACATACTGCATAGTTTTGGCGAGTAACTCTGTGAAAGATAATAACCCGTTGAATTACTATATCAAATAAAAAACTTTAACTACTTACTACCGATGTGATACACTGTATATTATTTACATTAACACATTTCATTTTCGATAAATTGTAATATTTGTTTATATGATAATTAATCATATATTTGTATATACCATATGATCATACATATTATTGTATGCAATTGGTTAGATAGCTTTTGCGATATTTTATTTTGTTTATTATAGTTTTTCGTAAGAAAAGCGGCTATGCTCGTCCAATTGTAAATCGGTAATTAACTTTTGGGTTTAACTGATATTAATTTAATATTTTTTTATATTTTACAAGTGTGTGTTTGTATGGAAAAAGTAATAATTCTTTAATTATACTATGAATAAATCGAGTGTATCGACAAGGCTGTTATCGATAACATTTTTTCTATATTCCCACCTTTCGCGTTTTATATTCCCAACATTCGCGTTTTATATCAAGGCATTTGTACAGAATACCGTTGGGCACATCTGTTTAATTGAGACTTTTATCAACTTATAAAATGTTAGATATTGAATTCACTCGATAAATTGAAGCATTATTTTATTTAAAATAACTTAAATAATTCGTATATATGAGACTTATTGTCTTAACTGACTGATTGGCCATAAACGCACATCCCGAATCGTGTTTACCATCCGATCAGCCTCAAACTCACACTTTCTAGAAAATCTATTACTTCTTGATGAAAATGGGCATCAAAGACTTGGTGGGTGATGTTTCTGATTCAAATTCATTTCTACGAATCTGAATCGGAAGCTGAGTTTGTTGAAATGTCTTTGAAAACAGAATATTTTGCCCCATAAGATCCTACCATTGAGCCGATCTTTCCTATAATAGCTATATATTAAAGTGGTCCGATATAAGGATCACAATTGAACTAATGTATGCAAGAGAAAGTCCTATGCATCGAGATAAGTTCACATATAATCAGACAGACAGGGTCATGGTAGCGCCGCGGCGAATACGGTGACACCAAGTACTGCCTCCGGCAGCTTATCGGCAGTTTTATCGTTTCGCACAGTTCTGCGTACTCATGTCGAAAACCGCAGTGGATCGCATCTTGGCGTTGTTTTCTTCTCATTTCGGCCTGATTGTACCTAACCCTGATTGATAAATAAATATCAGGGTACACCATGTTTTTCTAGTGTTACTTTAAGTCATCCTCAGAAAACTTACAAAGAGTTAATATATTATGGACGCTATCATAAAATGTTACGTGTTGGACGCTATAATAAAACGTTAAGTGTTAGAAACATGTTTGTTTTCATATGTCGCATCGACAATCGATACATTCGAATATCGATGCATTTGATTTTGTATCGATACATTTTAGATTTGTTTTAGTTCTTCCCGATTAGGTTAAGTAATAAACAAGGGCAAATGAATATACAAGCGTTAAGAACTGCGGCGTTTAAGGCTGCTGGAATGAGTTTGTCCCAGTCCTTGGGACGCCGGCGTCTGATATCAACGGTATCGCCAAGACTCAGCAAAGCGTATGACTATGATGGAAAAACAAAAGTCTCAATATTTAACACGGAAACAGACATGGGCCTTATGATCACAGGCTATAGTCAGTACGGATTCCGGCTAAACAATAATATGGTCTTAATAGGACCTATTACAGTATTTCCCAGGTGTGTATAAGTGACACATGTGCATACAACATGTAACTTAATTTCCATTTAAGAATTTTGAACATTCTAGGTCAGTACTGTCATGGAACATAAACTCATTTGACGATATAAACGAGGAAAGTCTTTCACTTTTTCCGACACTGGAGCCAAAGATAGATGTACTTATAATTGGAATTGGAGACCAGAATCCAACACCAAACCTAACAAAACGCATCATTAAATTCATGAAAAAGTACAAAACAAACGTCGAGGTTCTTCGGACAGAACAGGTATGTATGATTTTCCACATTTGTTAAATCCATCTACCACCTGAAATATTTTTCTTTGCAGGCGTGTGCCACGTTCAATTTCCTTAACGCAGAGGGCAGAATGGTGGCATGTGCTCTCATACCTCCGCTGCACATTTCCTACAATGAAAACGATGTTCTACAAACCAAGCTTAAACAGAAACAGCTTTATGAAACAGATTAATTAACTTAATTAAATCAAATCAACAACTAGGGTCAACTAAGAAGTTATGTACATTCAATGTGAATAGTTAGAAGCAGATGTTAAATTACATTACAAGTTGAAAATGTATGTTATATGGATTTTCTTCTTATTTTAAAGATATCTCAAATAAAAAAAAGATTGCACATTAATGTCGATTCTATAGCGAAATAAGATTGGGTGGCAAAATATTGTTTTCCGGCATAAACAAGCTTCACTTTTTCACTGCAAAGCCATGTCATATAGCAACAAGGGTATTTAATATTCAGTGTGCCGGTAGACAGATAATTTGATATTCCGGGTGCGAACTGTTTCGTAGTCAGTTTGCAGTTTTGGGTAAAATCTTTATAATCAGTGTAGCACCAATAAGTATATTTATTAAAAGATATTTTATTGAAAAGTACTTAGCAAATTATATATTCAGTCGGCGCTTGCTCCAGGATAACGCTCTATAAGCATGGCCACGCCTTGTCCACCAGCAGCACATGCCGCAACTACACCAAGCTTTCCATCCTCGCGTACCAGGCGGTTGGCGGTGTGCATACATAGACGAACTCCTGTGGCAGCAAATGGGTGACCAATAGATAGTGATCCACCCCAGTTATTCCACTTGGTTAAATCTACAGCCCCTACTTTCTCGTTCAGACCCAAATATGTTTTACAAAACCAATCAGAATCTAAGGCTTTCAAATTGGCCACAATTTGACCAGCAAAGGCTTCATGAATTTCCCAAGTGTCCACATCTTTCAGTGTGATTCCGGCTTTCTTCAAGAGCTTGGGTATTCCATAGGCAGGACCCAATAGCAGTTGGTTGACAGGATCTTGAGATACATAAAGAAAATCACGTAAAAATGCTTTGGGCTTTAGGCCCAACTGCTTGGCTTTCTCCTCTGTCATGATTAGACAAGCTGATGCACCGTCAGACTAAAAGTACAACAAATTGATGATAGTTCGTTTATATAGTATTTCTAAGACGTACCAAGAAGGAAGCGTTGGCAGCAGTAATTGTGCCATAAGGTTTCACAAACGCTGGTCTGAGCTTTGCCAAACTTTCTGGGCTGGAGACTCGAATGCCGTTGTCTTTATCGACAACTTGATCAACACCTTGAACTTGAATAGTAACGTTTTTATGTAAAATATTGCGTGCAATCAAATATTATTTACATACCTTTAAAAGGCACCAAATCCGTAAAGTATCCATTTTCCTGAGCTTTTTTGGCCAAGGTGTGGGATCTTAAAGCGTAGTCGTCCTGTTCTTTGCGTGTGACATTAAAAGCCGATGCCAGTCGATCGGCGGAGTGACCCATAGTCTCTCCAGACGAGAACTCTGCAACAGCCGGCAACTGTAATTTACATAAAAAAGAAAAACATTTATAACTAAAGCTTGAGTTGATAAGTTTTTTTTACATACTTCCGGAGCCAAGAATCCAGGCCTGAATGTCGAGAGTAACGAAAGCCGCTGTCCAAGCGTTTTTGCTTTATTTGCCTTTAACATAAGCGCTCTCATTTTGCGCGAATGCCGGATTGGCACATCAGACATAAACTCAACGCCTCCAGCAACAATCACATCGTACGTGTTCGTAGCAATAAGTCCCATGCCAGTTGTTATTGCCTGAAATTGTATATATAACAAAGGACTGGCATGTATTGAGTTGTTTTAGAGAGCCAGGCATCAGTTCTTACCGCATTGGAGCTAATGCAGGCCATTGTAACCGTGTGGGCAGGTGTCTTATCGCTAAATCCAGCCGCTAGCGCTGCCTCGCGCCCAATATTCGAAGTTTTTACCTCCTGAATAACGCTGCCATAGACAATATAATCAACAAGTTCCTTGTTGATTTTACTCTTTTGCAATAGAGATCTATATGCACAAATATATTATTAACAAAAGCAATGTATTGTTTTCATATCGAAAAGAACTTACAGCAACGAATGCCTAGCTAACTCGTGGGGCATTAAATTCGAGTATGATGTACCAGATGTCAGAAAAGGCGTACGAACTCCATCGACAAGCACAATGTTTTGGCTGTTTCCGCTTCGTTTGGGTTGTACTGCGGCTTGGACGGACATTTGCCTGTGTCCAACTGAAGTATAAAATTAATAAATATTTCGCGAATTATTCTTACAACTATCTTCAATATTTATTGTATTTATATAACTGTACATATGCATATGCTTTCATGGTCATTAATTTGATTCGTTTTTTATAGTATACGCCCTTAAGATTCAACATCAGTTGGCTGCCTATAAGGGCGGCGTATTCGGCTAAATACATATATTCGTGGAATTTGAGCCCAGAAATCGCCTCTGAGTGCGTGACGTAGTTAATTCATCTTATGACAACTGCAACATACTTATTTATTTGGATCTGTACTTTACTCTAAAATAAATGGACTTTGATCACGCAGAATTGACGTCGTCAAATGCTTCGCCTACTCAATTTTCACAAGTATAAATCTTTGAGAATTACTTACGTCTTCTAAAAAAGCTTGTCATATTTAGATAATTGTTTCGTGTTTGAATAAGTCGGACGTTCATTTTTAATATTAACAAGTCTCAATATATGATCGATGCTTTTATTTTATTTCGCCGCTGGCTAGCGATGGCCAGATAATCGAGATGGCTATGTTTCTAAAACTATCGCTAACACTCCGATATAAATCGATAAATAGCCTTTACATTACATATGTTGGCTGTTTAAGTACTTAGCAGCTAATTTGTATGTTAATACATTTGAATATAAGTACACATGTTTGTATCTTTTCTACTTTCCACACTAAAACTACATTCCTTTTCATGGCATAGCAAACTGAACTAGGAAATAGTTGAATGCTCACATGCTCATTTAAATAGGGCTACATAAGTAAATTCCAAAAGTAGAGTGCAGAATGTCTAGTTCAAGGTTAAATTTAATTGTCTCCTTTAAGAAGAAAGGGTACGGGCACGTGCAGCTCATTACATTTACATACACACTAATGCACATGTATGTAAGCATCAAGGCCATTAAAATGCTACTCGCTGCACTTCATTGTTAGGATAAGTATTTACATACATACTTATGTAAATGTACATAGTATGTAAGAATTCAAATACATATATAAAAAAACGGTGAATTCGAACTATTTACATAGGTATGTGGGCGCAAGAAAGTTGAAGCCGTTATACAGTCGATAATGCCTACTAATTTTCCCCTTTGGGTTAAACTGTTAATGCTAATGGACTGATTGAGTGATTGACTGACTGACTCATTGATCAGCACCTGTTATGACCTTAGTCAACACTTAGACGAGCGTATTATCTAGCTGATCGGCATAAGTCTCATTTTCAACGCCCTACACTAAAATAAAACTAATATAAAAAAATGATAAGTTATATGATGAGTTTATTGAGAATCTTGAAATTAAAAAGGTGATCAACGATTTTCGCCAAAGCTTATTTTTCGAATGATTGCGATATAGTTGAAAAATGTTCATACAATTTGGCTCATTTGTAAGGAGCATGATAATTATTAGATGTCTTCTTTGGTTCATAACTTATGAAAAAAATGTAAATTTTGAACATAATTCTCATGAGCTGTTTTTGAATCACAGTTAATATGGCCCGCGTTCGATAGGAATCGATAAGAATCGATATCGAAAGCTTATTTTGTGAGAAGAACTCTTCGGTCTTAAGAGTGCGACTCACGAACTCTGGTTTTTTGTATAGTAAACATAAATTTAATAAAATTAATAAAAATTACAAACGAAACTACGGCCACAATTTTAAGGATGCCCTTTTGGGTAAAAAGCTTCTCCTATGAAAGTTCCGGGTTTCTTGCAAAGGGAAACTCAAGCACAATAAACAATTGGACTCGAACCAGTTTGCCTCGAAATAGTTTCGCAGCCTTGACTACGAATTTCTATATATTTGCTTATTTTACTTTATTTACTTATTGAATAGGAAAATCATTGTAGGCCGACATAACTGACTAGTCCTCCAGATTTCTTTAGAATACTTTGAAATGTAAACCCGTTTGTTTGTTTTTGAGTATATAACAATTTCTATTCGTAAGAGCCGACACGCAAGACGCGTAAATTTACATCCGTTCTTTAAAATGTGCAATTAAATTTGTCCTTGAACTGCAGAGCGTATGCAAATGGGAAAGTGGGCATGAGGATACAAGGATACAAACATCTGTACAGGAATGGATATACAGGAAATAACAGTCTACTTTCAGCCCGTTATCCGTGCATAATTATCTTTAATGGATGCACATTTAAATCGTATTCCTTGGGATAGTTTCACATGCTTGTAAAAAGAAAACTCCAAAAAAAAATGGATATCTGTGAAAATGTTATGTGGAAAGGTAATCACAATTAATTGAATTGAAATAATATGTAAGAAAATAAAATCTCTAATTGAATAAATCACTTTAAATACATTTTCCTAAATGTATGCAAATAACGAGACAGGTGAAAATGGAAAATCAAAACGGTTTTTGCAGCTGATCAAGAATATAAATATGAATTCTTACAAATAAAATGTTAATGTAAAGGGTTAATGTTAATCAAACAGAGCTGGCATGGGATTGTAATATGGTCTAATCAGAAATATACATTAGTATATTTAAAAGAAATGATTGATGTATAAAATGTGAAAATAAGTATGTAAGTATGTATGCGTGTAAAGACATTCATTCAGAGTTTAGTTTTTGTTGCAGTGTTAAATAAAACCCCTGTTGGGAAAGGCATAACACATCATAAAACGAAGTGGCTGCAAGAACAAGTCCGAAGACCAACATGTTCACACGAAGACTGTATGATCTCGCTAGCTGCTGTTGTCGGCTGCCACTGGCTGTAGTTTTAGTGCACAAATAGTGCTTTGGTAGGTCGGACGTGTTGTCGGTGCGCGCGTGATTTAAGAGAGCCGCAGTGCTACTTTTATACGAGAGAGAGAGAGGGAGAGAGAGAGAGAGAGGCAAAAGCCCGATCTCTTGCTCGCAAAGTCGGAAAAAAGTTTTACCAATCAAGTTTTTTATTTCGCAATAATGTATTACATATAACAAAACTTCAACCTAGTTAAAAGTTACTGTTGTTGTTGTGAACTTTTTGTATGTGTGCGGTACACACACATGCATATGGATTGCCATCAGTATGTGCATGTGTTGTTTGTGGCATTAGCAAAAGCTAATAAAGCTGTGAACTGTACGTGCGTTGCTTAAAAACAAGATCCAATTCAAAAGAGAAATTAAATCTACTCTGCTACTATTAAACTGTGTTTGAAAATCTCGAACAAATATGATAAACAAAAACAGAAACAGTTGTCTTATATATATGAACGTGTGTAGATGTTGAAACTGAAAGTAACAATTAATAAATATACATATACAGTATGTCAATAAAGTGTTTTGACTAACGAAAAAAAACTAATTTTTTGGGTTTAGTTGAAAATAAATGTACCTAAAAGTGAGAATTTTTTTTCAATTCTAATTTATTTCGATTCTATATTTTTCCTAGAACTTAATGGCAAAAAGAATTGTTAAATAACATTACCCAAACATTTTATAAAATTAAAAAACTAAAAACATTCAAATTTTATGCTGTCAATAAAGTGTTTTTACACGAAACTTTATTACTAAATAACAATGTTAAAAAAACAGGAATATTTTTTTTTAATACTTTGTGTGGCTGCCATTAGCGTCACATACAGCCTGCAATCGCCGTTTCATTGAAACAATAAGGTTTTGTATGTATGTTTCTGGAATCTTCTGCCATTCTTCCAGTACAGCAGCTTTTAAATCAGTTTTTGATTTTGGACTCCGCTTTGCGACTTTTTTTTTCAAATATGACCACACATTTTCTATTGGATTCATATCTGGACTTTGTGGTGGAGTGTCTAACACCTTTCCACAGTTGTACAACAGCCAAACTCTTACCATATGAGCTTTATGCTTCGGGTCATTGTCCTGGTAAAATTTAAAAATTGGCTTATTGTCCTCATAGAATCCAAATTTCTGTGCACTACTGACGAGATGTGTCTGTAAAATGCTCAGATATTGTCTAGCATCCATGGTATTCTCAATGAAGGTCAAATCTCCTACACCCTTGCTCGAAATACACCCCCACACCATCACTGATAGTTTTCCGAATTTAACGGTTGGAATAATATTGCGGTTTTCCAACGCTGTTAGTGGCTTTCTCCAGACTCTGGATGGCCCATCGTTGTAGAATAGCATCATCTTGCTTTCGTCACAGAATATGACGTTACTCCAAAAATCGTTCGAACTATTTACATGGACTTGAGCGAACGATAGCCGCTTCAAAATATTCGCCGCCGATAGTAGAGGTTTTTTCCTGGCAACTCGTGATGTGTAGTCATTGGAATTCAGTAATTTTCGGACAGTTTCATGTGACACATCAACACCACTTTCTTCCTTGAACTCCTGAGCAATATCCCTAAGCGAAATTTGTGGATTTTTCTCAATTTTTCTCAGAATTTTTCGCTTATCTCTGTCAGAAATTTTGCAGGGTCGACCACATACTGGCTTTGCCTCTAGCCTATCTTCCTTATTGGCTCTGTTTAATATGTTGTATATCGTTGCTTTTGATAAATTAAACATATCAGCCAGTTCCGAGACTTGACGTCCCATCTGATGGTTATAATACACCAGCTGAGCGACTTCAAAAGTTGTTCTTTTTCCTGGCATTTTATTTTTCATAAAATTAAAGCAAAACGTTATAAATTGCAATAGAAAATGACAAGAAAAGTCGAAGACACAAGAGAAGCCAAAACGCATGGGCCCAAATCTAACGGGATCACCCAAAAGAGAACGGCAAAACAATTTACCGTAGCTGTAAAAACACTTTATTGACAGCATAAAATGTGAATGTTTTTAGTTTTTTAATTTTATAAAATGTTTGGGTAATGTTATTTAACAATTCTTTTTGCCATTAAGTTCTAGGAGAAATATAGAATCGAAATAAATTATAATTGAAAAAAAATTCTCACTTTTAGGTACATTTATTTTCAACTAAACCCAAAAAATTAGTTTTTTTTTGTTAGTAAAAACACTTTATTGACATACTGTATGTACAATTTATCAACATACAATTTTACATGTGTTAATTCTGTCGTTCAATGCAAAAGGAATAGAACGCGTAATTCACATAACACATACACGTTCAGGTATATGTTTGTATGTGTGTGCATACACAAACCTTAACCAGAGACTGTGAAAGTGGAAAGCTCTACTGAGTCGCATACATGTATGTATGAATGTGTATGAATACATAAATATATGTATGTATGTGCAGAAAACTACGATATTTACATGTATGCATGTACGTATATGCCTTACATACATATTCAGAAAGTCTACAGAAGATTTTCCATCTATTTGTGAAAGGGAGTAATTGCTACAAGATTTAATGAAAGAGGTAAGTCGAAAAAGTATATTTAGAAAATCATGTTTTACTAGTTTTCTATGTACATATATTTGTCAAAATAGAGACAGTCAAATTTGTGTTATAAACAAAAAAAAAATATTATGTTTATACGCTGCACGTTTAATTAAAATATAAAATGGACACCTAATGCAAATTAATATGCATAAATAACATTTACACAATGC